TGGTTATTATTAATTATCAATTTCTCAAGATCTAGAATCATCCAAGAGACAAACTTCAAGAACGCCTTCGAGGGAGATTGTAGATTGGGTTGGTCAAGGTGAGAAACCCCAGATGTAGGCGGCACCACCCTAGGGGCTGGGCTCCTAGTATGAAAGGGATAAAGAAAGCTGTGCCAGCATTTATCCCTTTGTTTCCTGACAGTGGGTGTGATGGACCAGGCCTCAAAGTCTTGCTGCCATGACTTCCCTGCTGTGATGGACGATGCCCTCAAATTGTGAGCCAATTAAACCTGTCTTTACATTGTTTCCATCGGGGATTTTGCCACAGTCATGGGAAACGTGACTAACAACACTTCCTTCGGGATGGAGGATAGCTCAATAGTAGAGCCCTTACTTAGCAAAGGGAGGTCCTGGGATCTGATCCTTAGCATTGCCAGCAAAATTTCAAGGTAATAAGCATCACTGAGGGACAGTCAGCTTGCAAACACTAGGCTAATTCTTCCACTCTCCCTAGATACAGTTCCTTCTGGACTGAATTATGTCTTCCCAAAACACAATCCACAATGTGATTATATTTAGAAGGACGGCCTGTAAGGAGGTAATTAAGGTGGAATGAAGTCATAAGGGTGGAGTTCTAATCCAATAGGATTAGCGTCCTTATAGGAAGAGCTACCACAGACAATTTGTCTCTGCCCCCACACAGGAAACAAACAGCAACCAAAACCCCTTGTACAAACAGAGTGACACCTTATTCACACTAAGGGAAGAGGCAACACAGGAAACTATTTCTGTTGGCACCTCACCTTGGGTTTCCAGCCTCCAGACTGTGAAAAATGTAATTGTTGTTTAAGCCATACATTTTCTAGAATTCTTTTCTGGTAAGAAAGTTGGCGAGTCCATACCTTGACACGAAGATGCAAGACTGTCTGTCTGGTTCACTAGAAATATTCAGTATTTTAAGTAAACCAGTATTTTAAGGGCCATCATCTTACTGCAAGACAGAATATGTCACAGGACATCATTTTGCCTGTCATTTGCCTTTCTCTTCCTGGTTTATTTTCAGTCCTCTCCAGACAAACTGCCTGGGTCCTGGCAAAGTGCAGAATCCAGAGGAGATACTGTGCTGTCCACATATTCCTATACAGAGCAGATTTATTATTTCAACTATACCCCATTTCTCCACTCTGAAGTTTTGGCAAGAACACTTCAGTTGTCAGCTGTTCACATCTGTCCAGGCCTGCAAATTGGGTGTTGAAATGTGTTTTTAAAAGTACTTGCATCCATCAGCGAATGAGGTCTGTCTTTATAACTGTATGAAGATTTGTGGTACGGAACCTGCAACTAGACTTCTAAGCTTTTGATCTCAACTTCCAGAGGACACACTCGCCTCAGACCCATATAGGTGAGGACGCTTTCAAAACATGTCCTCTCATTCTCAGAAATCACAGGCCATTTCCTCATGTAAGACAAGCTACTAGATCTGTCCATAGAGGTTTCTGCCCAGTTAGACTTCCTGGTTTTAGTGCTTCACTAGTTTAGCGTGATATCTTTTTTTATTCTTTCATTTTTATTTGATCTGTGTCTTCATATTTAATTTAGATAGCTGGGCATGGCAGTTCCAGCCACTATGGAAGCTGAAGCAAGAGTTTGAGACCAATGCAGAAAGACCATCATCTGAAAACAAAATCAAATCAAACAAAATAATAACAAAGTCTCCAAATGTATTGGGTTTCTTGTAGGTGGTAAATTGAGACTAGCTTCTTTTCTGAGACTTTTTTTGATTCTGTACATTTAGTGCAATTATTCATATAGCTGAATTTCAACCTACTATTTTGATAATGTTGTATTTTTTCTGTTTTTTCTCTTCTATTTTAGATTATTATGAATTGATTGTCCACTTTTCATTTTCATTCTTTTGCCCACCAGCAGCCCTAACTTTTTGTTTTCTTCTCAATTTTTGCTTGTTTTGTCATTTTTTGTTTTGTTTTTAGTGGTTACATTAGGTTTTTAGTAACACTATCATTATACGAATTGGATCACACACATTATTTTGGTGTGTATATGTGTGTGCATACTCATTGCAGATTCAGAATTACTTACCTGAAGAACTTTTGCAACTGTATCTTGTATTTTAGTACTATTGCTGATAAATTCTTTCATCATTTCTATGTATGAAAATATATTTTCTCAGCATAATGAATAATGCTTTTGGTGGATGGAGAACTTGTCTAAGCTGGCTGTACCCCCTTTTTCTCTTTAGTATTCTACAGACTTGGCTCTCCTATCTATATTTTGTATTGTCCTTATGATAGTTTCCTATGTGTAATTGCCTTTTAGACTTCAGTTGCTTTTAAGACTTTTTTCTTTATAAACCCTTTAAGCAATTTAGTCATATGTCCACAATATTTATAAATTTTGTGTTTGAGATATTCTGGAAATTATTCAATATGTTGGTTAATAGGTTTTTAAATCACAACTGAACAAACCGGCCAGTTTTTTTTTTTTTACTGTTTCTCCTTGTTTCCTTCAAAACCTCCAATTTTACGTACATTATAGCACTTTGTGTCACAATCCACCAATGCTTTTGTTCATTTTTGTCTCTGTTTAATTTTACATATTTTAAAATAAAGATCTTTGTATTATTTATAGGTGTGTGTGTATGTGTGTGTGTGTTATGTACATGAACGCAGGTGCATCCAAAGCTGGAGCTGAAGTTACAGGAGATTGTGAGCCCCTGATGTGGGTCCTCTGGAAAAGCCAGATGTGCTCTTAACTGCTGAGCCATCTCTCCTGCCCTTTTTTCCGTTTTTAAATTATGTTTCCAAGCCTAGTGATTTTTTTCTTTCCCCAGCAAATTGGCTGCTAACCATATATAATGTAATTTCTACTGCATTCCTTGGACAATTCATTTCCACACAATTTTTTTTTTCTCACACACTCTGAATGGCTCCTTAACATGTTCAGTTAAATTTTTCTCTTAGGTTTTAGAAGACATGAAATACAATAAAAATTACTATTTTAATGTTCTTATCAACCAATACTTCATCCGTGTCATTTCTGGATCCGTTTTAATTTATCCCCCCACACACACACACACTTAGCAGTTTAGTTTTCTTTTTCTCTTTCTTTCTTTCTTTCTTTTTTTTTTTTTTTCTGTTTTTGACTTTTTGAGACATGGCTTCTCTGTAGCTTTGGAGCCTATCTTGGAACTTGCTCTATAGAACCAGGCTGTACTCAAACTCACAGAGATCCACCTGTTTCTGCCTCCGGAGTGCTGGGATAAAAGGTCTGAGCCACCACTGCCTAGTTAACGGTCTCATTTTTTTCTTTTCAAAGTCTGGTGATTTTCTTTTCCAGTTAGATCACAGATGTAAACATGACCCCTGTTCAAGGCTTTTGTTTGTTTTTGTATTTCTAAATACTGCTGAGCTGTGTTCAGGTCTATAGTTAAGTTACATAGCAATAGTCTGATCATTTTAAGGTTTGCTTTTCAACTTTTATGCTTGACCAAAGATGACTTTTTTTTTTTTTTTTTTTTTTTTTTTTTTT